TGAGTAGAAACCTGACTGTAATGAAATCCGACAGAGCGAAACATTCAGCCAACACTAGAGTGAAGTCAGAGTGTAGTTTCACCTGTTCACGTTGTCAATAAACAAACCACTTTCAACTCCCCTATCCAGCCAATATTTAATATAAGTCGATAATTTGATACTTAAATATGAGCGATACATTTGTCACTTACCTTCAAATTTATGACATTTTCAAATTTGTAAAATCAACGCAGTACATCTGCACGGAACACTGCTTTTCAATAGATGCTGTGGGATAATAACTGAGGTCTCTGCGCTGACTGCGTAACAACGCCCCCCCCTCTTCTAGCGCCGTTACGGCTAATTTGCATACAAATGGTGTGGTTGTATAAGCAGTGTTGATTACTTCGACTGCGTGTTTGTAAGGTATCTTTGGTTACCGGAGTCACCGATCACGGCGGTAACAGTATCGTATTCACTTCTGGTCAACAATAGAACGAAAAATACCCGAAAAGGCGTTATCATATACAGGCACTTATTTAGTACACAACTGAACATGCTGTAATGGTGTACTATACAATACAGAAATTCAAAAACGTTCGAGTCGCATGAAGACCTATACATTTTCCCCTTAGAAACAATACAATCTAACAATGCAATACCTTTTCTTGGCGAAGGTGTATACAAGCCCTGAAACAATGCAATAAATATTTTGTGCGAAAAATACTGGCTAAATTTTAGGTTGGGACATTTTCTACCAAAAATGGATAAAAACAATGAATTCGTCATAATTACTTAAACAAATACATAATATTCATGTTTCTCAAATAATAACTGCATATACTGTAGAGTAACATAACAAGAATTCTATGAAAAAATCCTAGAAATAACATGCCCCTTATAACTTGAATTGTATACGAGAAAAGTTCTTAACAAATAATAGTCCAGCAACACATTTAAGCAAAATTTGGCAAGAAAAACACAAGCCAACGCATTTCTCAATTCATACAATATGTATTTCGAAAAAAAGCACAGCACAACATTGTCCTTAAGGTAGAAGCCTACTCATAATTTTTGAGAAAGTTGGTCATAAATCACATGACAATGTTTATTGGTTTATTAGGCCAGACTTTTATTATCCCTTGGTTCGCGAACCCGCCGAATGAACAGGAGTCGAAAATGAAATAAAAATAAAATTTTATTTCAGCGTAATTTCTCGCGCCCGCCGAATTGTAGGTGCAAAAAATTACTAAACAAAATATATTTATCTTTATTTTTTTTTTCGCCCACCGCATAACAAATCCAAGTTGCATTTTCGTGCGAGTATCATGATCAAAGTACCGAAGTCTCGCGCAGATGAGAAACAAGATTATACATGGAATAAAATTTTATTTCATTTCTTTTCTCCAATCAATGATCTCTCTTACAATTCTTTGACAAATCTAATGGGGAAAAAAAGAATTATTTTTTTTTTTTTCGCCCTCAAAAAATTTGGCTTATAAAAACTCTACAAACAAGGAATTAAAAAAGTTGGCCTGATGAAAAATAGTGGAGTTGTACAATGCCACCATAAAAGAACAATTTTTTGTGTGTTACAGTGATACATTTTGAAAAACTTGTCCTAATATTTCTCAAAAATCTCTTTTGAAACAAGTCCATAGAACACAGCGTTAAAGAAAAATAGCATTTTCATTAATGTAGAGAAGTCACCAGAGTAAGCCATTTAAAATCAGATCTGAAAAACAAAATGAAGTGCAACAAGGTCCCACAACGTCCAATGTATGTACCAAGTTGAAACAAAATTTGCCCATATACGACCAAGATAAAGTTTCAGAAATGCTTGATTTTGGGGAATTTTTAGATAATGTAACAAATAGTCAAGCATATGTCACCCAAGGTATGTGATGTATTAAGTTTGAATGTGATCGGACAAGGCATGTCCGAGATACAGACACACATGAATGCACAAGGGTCCAAACATGCCTGTTTTCGAACTGCATCAGAAATGGGACTAAAAAGTGTGGTGCAACATCCAAACAGATATATTTTACACCTAAATATAACCTTAAAAAAGGGTCAACATGTATCGTGTAACATTTTATTACACAAAATATGATTGTGCATGAAACTATGTTCTTCACTCTCTCTAACCATTCAGCACTTTTATTTAAACAAGCGACCTGACTGTCAAAATAGCTCCGCTGTTCTACAAGAACATTGTGGTAGCCAAGTTAACCCACAAAAATGTACCGGTAGTTTAGTTTTGGCTGTTGAAAACATGTTAACTTTAAACAATCAAACAAACTGTTCACAATTGCAATAGGGTTGGTATTGTTCAAGAAGAATTCAAAAATAACATGTTTTCACCAAAAATAGAGAATTGATATCGACAAATCTGAAATGATACCTAAGGTACTTAAAGTTGAAAATAATATTTTTTAACAAAAATATTTGCCAAAAATAGTGAATTGAAAATATTGAACAAATCTGACAGAGGTCCACCCAAAGGATCTATATAAAAGCAATTGATAGTTTTCAAGTAATAGCATTTTTCACCCAAAATAACAAAAATATTTGGCAACAAGCCATGGATGGCACAGTCTCAGTTAGTTATCAAATCTAAGTTGTATAGTTTTGTTTATAGTTGAATACTTGTTCATATTGAGAGGTATTGCCCTGGAACAGCCACTGGTCGGCCATTTTGAATTGGATAGTCAAACCAATACATCTGATCACAGTCCCTCTATCATAGTCCCATTGGATGATAATTGGATAGTCCAACACAGTCCCATCTGATCACAGTCCCTCTATCCCCTGTGATAGAGGGACTGTGATCTGATACATGATGTATAATGAATATATAAAATTTGAATATAATCAGCCAAAGCATGTCAGAGATATGACACTACAATTGCATTCACTGAAACAAAATGGCTGTCAGTTGGCCATTTTGAATCTGATCTGAAAGACAAAATGACATGCATCCAGAAACCCATGTCTAATGTATATATATCTAATTTATTTCATTAAATTCTTCATCACAAACTCAAATACATACATATATACAGACTAGATCAGTACCATATAGCACCTAATTTACATACAAGTTCATTATTCACTTTAAAGCAAGACATGCATCACACAAGTATTACTAATATATGCACTTTTTAAGGCAGGCATTTCTATGAATCACCTTGTGTACTGCTGCACTGACCATGGATTGAAACAATAAATTTAAACAAGTTGCATTAACAACTTCTTGAATTAGGTAGCATAATTGTAATTTTACTCTAGAGTAAATACAGACAGCGCCCTCAATGGTGAAAGTTGTCAATTCCTGGGAGATCTAGCAAGACAACTACAAAAAGTGTGCATACGAGCAATGCTATGCAAATGTCAACATTGAGATGTCTACACTAAGCAAGCTAAACAATCAGGTACAGTCAAAATCTTTTAAATTACTCTTAAATTTTGCATATGTACTGAATTAATTTTGTACAGATCTTAATTCCAAAATCTACAAAAATGGCTTTGTAGAGAGTTTACAAATTTACAAACTGGAGAAGGAACCAGTGGCTGTGACACTTGTTTAAAATACTAAGTGTACTGGAGAGTAAGAGGGAGAATCTCATTCATTGTAAATAGGACACACCACTCAAAGCAGTTTCTGAAAGCTAATTAAAATAGTCTACACACCACAGCTGAACTCATTGTACATGCTTCAATCTAAGAAAAAAAAAAAGGAGCATTTAAAACGAACTTCACAAGTCACTAATGTCTGACAGGTCATTTGATGTGCTACACCATAGACCCTCCAGTGGAGGGTATATTGCTAAACACAGAAGCAAGATGGTAAATTAAAACAATTTACTACTTGTACATATTTCCACTGTCCTGAGGGGTCAAGTGAATACAGAGACAAGATCAACAGAACAGAACTCATTTTCACTGTGCTGGGGGTACAAATGTAAAGAAGATACATTTAATGGTACTCAAATACAATGTTTACTATGGCAACATAACAAATCAGTAGCTAGAGATGAAACCGCCGAGGACAGTTTGGGAATATGTTTGAACCGGATTGAGTGACTGGTAAGAAACTAGCTTACTTGAAATGAAATTGTAATGCGACTATGAATAACATGGTATGGTCTCCTATTATTGACTTATTGTCCCCAAAACAGTTGCCTTTTTGTTTTGACTTTAAGCAAAATGTTTTTTTGTCCTGATTTGTTTTTATGTGACAAAGAACTGTTATACCACTATATTGTATTCTTCCTGTCATGCTTGGAAAGTGGTTTTTGGAATACCCATTAAAGTTGCATCACATAGATACCAAGTCCCTTTTTGGTGCTAAAACTTGGGTATGGTTTGAAGCAATGGTTTTAAATTGAGTACCGATCGGTAGTTATAATGAATAAATAAAATGTCAGAGATATGGCTCTATTAAAACAAAATGGCCGTCAGACGGCTATTTTGAATCCGATCTGAAAAAACAAAATGATGTGCATCAAGGTCCCATAATGTCCGATGTATGCAACAAGTTTGAACAAAATCCATCAGGAATGTCAGAAATGCTTGATTTCGATGATTTTTCAGTACAAAAATTAATTCCAGCTAAAATAAAGTACTTTACAGCATGTCAAACAATCAGAAAAGAACAACAATTCCTACATAAAGTGATTAGTAGAACAGCCTAGTTTGCTTCCTGAGACTCCCCCCCCCATCACTGCCTTCCTCATGTACTAACGTAATCACACTTTCACAAACAACACAGTCTTTTAAAATATAATCTAAATTTGAATTAATCTCTATTTAGTCCAATATTTCAGACCGATACGTTTTATCATAACCTTTACAGAAGATGATAGAGTCTAAGGGTTGTCAAATCTGTATTTAAGTCTCACCATGATTCACCATGAACTTATGTGAATATAAGCAATATAGTCACCAACCACTGCAGTCTAAAATGTTCATGCAAGTCACATTTTTGGATGTAACCCTCATACACTGGGAGAATACGGGTATTACCTTAGACCAGTCTACACAGATCTTAGTGCATTGTGGGACAAGTTAACATTCAATGTGTATGCAAACTGTCCTATGAATCTTTGCGTTGAACAATCGGTATAACAAAATCTACACCAATTGTTAGACTCTACGTTTAACACATTGGGGAAAAATGATACAGATTTCGTTGGAATGTACTATAATACATTAAGATGGGGGACGATACATTCTTATTAAGGTAAAACATTATGACACAGGGGTATTGTCTATCAGGATTTCCTTTTAGTTCCTTTGATATCAGTACATATACCATGTTCACTTAGTCTTGCTATCTCATCTCCTAACGTATCAATGTTCTCCTGAAATAAACAATAGTAGATGAGTAAGTAATATGCAATCTCAAATATCATTATATTGCTAAGGGGCGGACCATTTGATATCCGGGGGGGGGGGGGGCAGGTAGATTGAAATGAAGCCTACTATCTGATATGGAATTATTATTTTTCAGTAGACCTTGTCTCTAATTTTTACATGCATATAGTGCAGGATTATTTTTTTCAAGCATTGTCATAGAATTTTTTTTTTCACAAAATCTTCCTGGCCCCCCAGGATATCAAATGGTCCATCCCTAATGCCAAAACAACTGAATTAATTTAATTTGTTGCAACATAACTGTTACACTGTTATCTGCATAACATGTGTAGTACACTTTTAAAAAATTGAAAGCAGTCTTACTTTGAGAGTAATGTTTTTAAGCAAGGTATCTTCTAATACAGCTTGTAATTTCCTGTTGATTTCCAATGACAAATCTAGCGTCATACCAGGATCTACAGCATGTGATTTGTAGAGAGAGGCCATGATACCACCCTGTTTAGCCATTTTGGCCTGAAAGAATCAATAAACAAATACCATAGCAACAATTATCATGCAAATACAATAAACTTTATTCAGATTTTCCCTTTTTGAGATGCTAAGTCACAGTTACTATGCATTGGACCACAATTATAGCAAAGGCATTTTATGATAATTCACTTTTTCATCTGACTAGTCATGATATCAAAATTAAGTCAAAAAGGGTATTTAAGGGTTCTAGTTACAGTAGCACATTAGACATAAAACACTTATTATATAAACATTAATGCATGTATACATTTGCATCACTGAAGTCTATACTGACATGGACACTTGGTGGCAGTTTTTTTTTTTACTAGTTCTTGATCACTTCTTTTTGCACTGATTAGATGAAGAAAAACCAAGTAATTTGAGATATTTTGGTATTGTCTATGTCCATATTTGAAGTTTTGGCACAACAAAACTCAGGGTCAAAAATGCAGTGACATGGCTAGGAAACCAATCATTAATCATAGTCACCATAGAGGGCGCCACATGCATTAACTATTGGAGTGGTAAATATGCACAAGTTAAAAATCAAACCCTCAGTGATGCAACTACACAACACTACTTGAGTGATACAACTACCAATATATATATATGGGGGTAGGATGAGGACACAGAACCCTGTGCTTCCCAGCACATGGAATTATGGGATAGTTGTAACACCTAGTGAATGGACTGTTTTATCACCTGAACTTTGTGTACCTTATTAACGTCCATTGATGCTGGTGCTAACGCTCCGCTCTGTTCTCGTAGTACAAACTGTTGGATTATTCTAGAAATAAACAGAGAAATTTGTCATTCCAGGCCTTTACTGGCACTACTGTTTATATTAGGAAAATAATGCCATGCATCAATGTTTGTAGTATCAATGTTTGTAGCCTCAGTGTTCGTAGTATCAAAGCATCAAAGGTTGTAGCAACTATGTTTCTAGTATCAATGTTTGTCAATCAATGTTTCTAGTATCAATGTTTGTCAATCAATGTTTTTAACCAATGTTATAGTGTCAATGTTTGTCAATCAATGTTTTAAACTAATGTTTATAGTATCAATGTTTGTCAATCAATGTTTTAACCAACATTTATAGTATCAATGTTTGTCAATCAATGTTTGTAGCATCAATTTTTAACAATTAATGTCAGTAAGGGCTATTTTACTCACTTGGTTTTCTTTTGGATTTCATCCAACAGCTGATTAACATGGTCTTCCAGAAAGTCAATTTTTTCTGTTTTGCGGTGACTTGCCTTTTGCAGTTTCACTATTCTCTCGATAAGCATAGCTTTGTTTATAGAAGGCACATCACTACCACCTCCGGAGGAGTCACCATGCTGAAATGAAGAAGCAAAGCATAAATCAATGAAAACTATGGTAACCTTGCCCTTATATTTTTACAAAAATGAAAGGAAGCACTTAATTTGAAACATGGAACGAGTAATACAAGTGAAAAGCCTGTGTGTAGATTGATATAAACATGGACTTACATCTCTGTCCTGTGATGGTGTCCTTGTTACAACCATTGGCGGCGCAGCCATTGATGAACTGCTATATACATGAGAAGCAGGCACTGTGGATGTGTCAATAGACCCGTTTGAACTTGTCCTAGAGCCAGTATTCAGGGTTTCCTTATTAGGAGCAGGACCGGGAATGTTTGTACTCACTTCTGTGTTGTCTAGTCTCTTCTTAGTACTCTGTAACTGTCGACTTAAATCCTGCAAAAAAGAGTGAGAATACAGCATGGATACACAAGTCGAGATTACACAGACAATGACCAGAAGAGCAAGTCAGAAGAGGACAAATGGTTATCGCCTTAGTGTATGGACAACTGGTCAGCAAGTGCAACATGGTGCGATCTTTGCTTTGCTCATGATTGGTTCATACAGTGGTTAGGAAACAGCGACAAAATTCTGTCTTTGAGCATAGAATTATCTTGCATCCGAAGTGCTAGACAGGGGTTTTAATGAGACAGTGAACAGATGGTAAGAGATTAACCTTGATATTTGCAGCATGTTTCCTCTTCAATGTTCTGATCTCATCTTTCATATCTTCTAATTGCACAGTTAGTTCCTCCACAGCTTTGCTTTTCTCTTCCAGTTTGTTTGTTAACAAGTCATTCTCTTCCTGTCTCAACTTCTTCTCTTCTTGTAGTTCAGATGACTGTGAAAGAAGAGTGGGGTATAAGGACAATGCAGTCAAGACTAGCAACTTTGTACCACCAAACAGAAAATGGTACCCACTCATGCTCAAGACTCAAGTGTCAAAAACATGAACAAGTTTCCACTTGACTTTTTTGTGTGCTTGTGAATGCACCTGAGTGAGTATGAACTTAAAGTATATAGGTACACATTATGGTTGGCTTTGTGCAAACCTTGAGCATTGAATGAAAATTGGTAATAGATGAGCTGTCCATATGTGGACAAATATTGAATTTGATAATAGATGTTACATAAAAGAAATCACCACAGTTTTATTATCTAATTGTTTTAGTGTTTATGGTTGCGCAGAGAGAAAAATGTATGTGATGACGAAACTCACCAGCTTAGTAGTGGAGGTCTTCAATTCATTGCACATTTCCGTTAAGTTTTTGTTTTCAGTAGTTAATGTTTCCACCTGAGAAAAAAAAAAAAACGCAAACATAAAATATTACCTTATCTGGCAGAAACATTTTACATATGTAATAAAACAAGCATGCAAGACAACATAAACTGCACTTGCTTGATATTTTAGCCTCAACTAAATTTATACAAATCATATGAGGTATAAGTCATATTTTAATGGTCGAGCATATAATAAATGCAATTTTTAAATAATGTGTGCTTCTATAGGTGATTTTCCGTACAATTGTGAGATCTCGCGAGATGTATGAAAGACGCGCGCCGAACTTCTGCCGCAAAAGTCGAACAATTTGATTTTGAACTAGAATTTCTTTATTTCGTAACTCATATCGACCGGCCAATCCTCGACAGAGGAATATTGCTTCCGCATACCCTTACTTAATCTAAATTGCCTATCATGAAATGTGAACAGCACATTATTATGCATGGAAATGTCTCCCAAAATACTTCGCGTTTGTCGAATCCCACGCGACGTTTGACGCCACTACAACGCTATGACCTTTGTTTGTCCTGTTTTTACGTTCGATTTCACGCATAACGCGTGATTCTCGCAGTAAACGGAAAATGGTCTATTGGAGATGGGCTTTTAATTGAACAAATAGGATACATGCATGTTCTTTTCAAAAATAATTACTGAGATGCAGGGAGAAAGGTTGGTA